CGCCTGGGAGGCAGGGGAGCACCGAATGCAGCTGGGCTGGCTTTAGGGGCGCTGGGGAAGGGGCCAGGCTGGGCTGGGAAAGCTTTCAGCCGCTGGTCCTGGGGCTGGTGGGCCCGTCCTGATAACCGCCCCCCCCCGGGAAGTTGGGAGTGGAAACCCAGGCAAGCTGGAGTTGTGAGGTCATGGCATTGTTCCCAGGGGGCCCTGGCGGACTGCCACAGGTGCAGGCCCTGAGCGTGCCCCACATTGTGCCCCTGCAGCTCTGATCAGGGCTAGGGTGGTGTCCCTCTGAGACACGTGTTGATGCATGAAAGCCATGCCACCATGCAGCCGGGCAAGGCAAAGCTCAACCAAGGCTGGGAGGAGAAGGCCAAGGGCTGGATGGAAGGTGGGGACGGAGAGGGGGAGCAAGCCTTCCCTGCAGGGCTCATTCAACTGGTCCAGTCCACCCAGTATCTGCTAGGTGCCCTCTAGTCACTGGGTTGCTGCTGACATCCAAGATCTATTTGGGAACAGCCAGCAAAAAAAAATGTGCTCTGTGGTTCTAGCTCTAGTGGCTGAGCACGGGCAAGAAACAGTGTTTTGAATGAGAAATTAGAGAACATGTCAAACAATGAAAAGAGGCCAGGAAAGGAGGTCCAGTTGCAAGTCAAGTAGTGTGCTTAGAATGGATCTCATTTCAAAGGCTCCGTTTCTGCAAACACTGGAAGTTGGCAAAGAGCACAGCATGTGCTAATGTTTTGGAAGTGCATTCCAGGCAGAGAGAACTGCCATGCCAAGGCCCTGAGGTAGGAGCAGCCTGGCCCTGTGGAAGCCAGAACTTTGGGAGCAGAGGTCAGGGCAGGCCTGGGCGAGGTCAGGAAGGGCCTGTGGCCTTACTCCCAGTGGTGAGGGAAGAAGGGTCCCTCGGCAAACAGCCTGGGCGGCCCTCTGGATGTCCGGGTCAGCCTCTGTCCCCACAGGCCAAGGCCAGGAGACAGTTGCAGGGAGCTCCCAGGGGACCTGGCCAGTCCTGGGTAGGCTGAGGGAGGTCCTGGGTGTCCCCCTCCCAGGCCATCCACCAGGAGATGGTGAGTGATAGGGCCTCTGGGCAAGAGAAGCAGCTGGGCCTCACGCTGCTGGACCCCAGAGCATGTTCCACCCGAAGTGTCCCTGCCTGTCCGTCCTTTTTGGGGAAAGGGCCCCAATTCCTGATCCCCAGGGCCAGCCAGGATCCTGAAGGCTGTGTGACGTTGTTTGTTTGGTTTCTGGGTTTTTTCTTCTGGAGAATGCGCCCCACCTAGTGGTCCCCAAGCAGGATGACACCGAGGCGCGCAGGCCCTCCCTTTGCTCTGGGGGCTGGCTCCTTCCTCCCCTCCCCACCCCTCCCCACCCCTCCCCACTCCTGCTGAGGCTGCCTGGTGTCCCCAGGCCCACTGTGAGCTGGGCCCCTCTGGGACCCGGGCTGGTGTGCCTTCCTGGCTTCTCCCTGGGTGCGGGTCTCGTGGCCTCTCACACCAGAGGCAGGTTGCTGAAAGCCTGAGCGCTCACCCTTCAGCTTGGCCTGGGCTCTGGCAACCCACAAGCCCATGGTGTCTTGACAGTCCAGTTGGTGGAGGCTGCAAGCCTTGGGGTCTGTCCTGACAGGAGTTGCCATAAGGCTGGCTTTCATGGAGTCAGTCTCAGGACAGATCCTGCTGCGTGGCCACCACACCTCCACTGGGTCTTCTGTTCTCCAACTCCAGCATCCCCAGGGCAGTCACAGGCCGTGGAGATCACTTGTTGGATGGGAGACTAGATGGTTCCAACCACAACCTTCATCCGGCTCCAGAACATTCCATCCCCCTCCCTCAGCAGTCACTTGGAGTCCTCCAGCCCCTCCCCTAACCGGTGGGCTTTTGACAGGATGGATTTACTTTTTCTGGACATGTCATGTGTTTTCTAAGATTTAAAGGGTCTTTTTGGAATGGCCACTCACCACACAGTGATGCTGAGGCCCAAAAGACAGAACTCTTGTTAATTGTAGCTCTGGACATGGGAACAGTTCCCTATGGGACCACACAAGAGGTTATACTTGAAGGCAGGATGACAGCAAGCTGGAGCTGTAAGGACAGACTGTGCAGAGTCAGTGAGTGTGAACAACGTCATGGGCCCCAGAGCCTAGGGGCTGTCCTTCATCTGCGAGCTGGCCTTGGAGTGTGGGACCCAGTAAAGAGTCAAGTGGCTATGTGCTTAGTAGGCTGAGGACTGTGATCCTGACACAGGAAGTAGGGACATTTCAGCCACAACTGGAAAACTAGGTCAAAACAGCTCTTGTGAAACATGATGTTACATCATAGAAATGGAATCCTACAAGATGTGGCCTTTTGCATCTGTGTCTGGCTTTTTTCACTTGAGTCAAAAGTCCCCAGGGTGCGTGCACAGTGTAGCCTGTGTCACAGTTTCCTTCCTTTTTCTAGCCAAGTAATATTCCATTGTGTATATAGATCACACTTGGTTTCTCTGTTCATCTGAAATGAACATTTGGGCTCTTCCCACCTTTTGGCTATTGTGACCATGAGTGCACAATGTGTTTGTGTGAACACCTGTTTTAGTTCTTCTGAGTGTATACCCAGGAGGAGAATTGCTGTGCCCTGTTGAATTCTACGCTTAACTCATTGAGAAACCACCCAAATGGTTTCCACTGTTTTTTCCTTTTCACTGTGAACACTGTTAGTCAGCTTTCTGTTACTCTAGCAAAACAACTGAGATCATCAACTTGTAAAGAGGTTTGGAGCACTTAGCCTGTGCTTCGTCAGCCCTGCAACTTGGGCCTGTGGAGCACAGGCAAATGTTGGGACATGGTGGAAGGATGGCAGAAAGAAAGGAAGGGCCATCCTAACGGACCTAAAAACCTCTCTGCCACCCTGGGGACCGAGCCTTTAACACAGGCCTTTGAGTGGGGGACCTTCGGGATCCACACCATAGCAACTGCTGCTGGGGTGCAGACAGGGAGAGACCCAGGTCACTTCCCTTGTTGTCTCTTCTTCCTGGTTTAGTGTTTGGGTTTTCCAGGAACATTTCAAGGAGTTCCATACACTTTCCTCCTCTCGTGCATCAGTGTGCATTTTAAGAGGACATTTTCACCCATGAGCCAGCGGTGACCTCCACCCAGTACCTTGCTGGCCACAGAGCTGCCACCCTCCTGTCATCTGTCCCACCCTCTGCTCCATGCATGGGTTCCTCAAGTGTGACCAGCAAAGGACCGGTGCGTGACACTGTGATGTGTGATAGCCTGTTCTCCCTCCACCTTTCACCCTGATGGTTCTAGGATCCATTCCACCACTCAGGGATCCTGTTTTCTACTTTGTATAAACTTCTCCACCAGAAGCATGACTCCATTCTTGGTCACCATGGTCAACAGGGCATCTAGGGCAATTTAAATGCAGGGTGAATATGACAGCTGTCGCCATGATCCCAGGGCCCTAACTCCCACTTCCCCTAGCAGCTGTCACCTGCCTCTGTTCCCCCATCAGGGACATCCTCATTGTTGGTCTCCTGCTGGATAGAAATGACATTCTTGGTGGCAGTGTTCCTTGCCCTGTCTCCGGCACTGAAAAGGGACATGGGGTAGCCTGAGGCCAAGATGGCTTTTGTCTACTTTGTCTGCCCTTCGTATGGGGCCCACTCCCTGCTGTCCCCACTAGGTCCCATCTGCTGGGCCCATCCTCATTTTTACCATCAAGGGCATCAAGCTCAGCCAGACCAAAGGCCAGGGCATGTGCCCTTGGCCTGCCCCTTGGCCAGAGTGCCACCCTTTGAGAGAGCACCCTGCACCCTGCTGTAGACCCCTCCTGCCCTGGGCATCACACCAGCCAATCCTCTGCACATGCGTGCTTGGACTCTTCTATAGAAACTCACCCCTGAGGGGAAGGGGTTGGTTGGTGATGGAGCTTCCAAGAAAGACTGGAAAGCTGAGGTCTGGAGTACTGGGCAGATGGAAACAGAGCTAAGAAAAGAAGGAAGTGGTAGGGTTTGGGGACACAGGCTCCCTAGAAAGGCAGATCAGGCAGGCCCTGGTGGAAAAAGTGGATGTGGGATTCTGGCTGGTTGCATGGACAGAAGGGGGCTCTGGAGCCCTCAAAGCTGGGGGTAGCGTTGAAGTCCCACCCTCAGGCAGGGTCTCCGAGGGTGCTGAAGGTAAGATGGGACCCGACCTCACCCAAGCACTGGGGTCCTACGAGGCGAGGCGGGGGAAGTCTGGAGCCAGGCACAAGGAGGGAGGACAGGCGGGGCGGCGACCCCCAGAAGCCAGAAGGGGCCCAGGCCTCTGCCCGGAAGCAGAGAGGATGGGTGTGTGGCTCCGAGCCCCAGGCCCAGGAAAGCACACAGGAGGGACAGAGCCCATCAGCTGTCCCTGCACAGAGGCCAGGGGTTCGGGGATGCGGGCGCGCTGAGCCCGAGCCCCCAGAAAAGGTGGCTGCTTTTGACTCTTGCCTGCCTCCCCAGGGTGCCTGACAGGTGATGGCGGGGATCCTCCTATGGGCGAGGCCCAAGGTGAGTGGCCCCTGCCAGTGCATGGCTTTCCAGGGGGCGGGGGACCCTGTCTCTTGTGGCCACTGCCGCTCTCGGGACCTGGGGCTCAAATCCACAACAGCCACAGGAATGGCCTGTCGCAGGTACCGATATCTTTTGAGGATGTGTCTGTGTGCTTCACGAAGGCAGAATGGAAGCTTCTGAACTTCAAACAAAAAGTCCTCTACAAGCAGGTGATGCTGGAGAACTACAGTAACTTGGCATCACTGGGTAAGTGGCCCCCGCAAGCACACCCAGACCAACCTGCTAGGTCTGGGCCCCATTTTTTTCTGTTTCCTGGTGTGTCAGTTACACTGAGACGAAACAGCTGGGTCTCTGTCAGACCAGCTGATGGCAAATGTTTGGGGTGAGTGTGTGAGCCTGTACTAACTTTGCATATGAAATTGTAGATTGACCAAACACCTACTTAAAAGAAAAATGTCAGTTTTAGTGGAACACACACACAGTCTGCCCAAAAAATGTATACAAACTTCAGGAAAAGAAAAACTTGTATGAATATTTTAATACTTTTATCTGTGGGCCCCTAGAGGACATCACGTATCACAGAAAACCCGCTACACTGCCGTAGTTTAGAGGAGAAATTGAAAATGCATGTGCAACCATCTCAGTGACCAAGGCTACCCAAGCCTTAAGCTCGCTTTGCCATACTAATAAATGTCTGGAAACTCATAGCCACCGCTTTGAGCACCTCTTGTAACTCTAAAGGCCAGAGGTAACTTGGATTAATCTCATGATGCCTCAATAAATTTAGTGTTAAAATATTTATACAAGGGCCTGGTGTGGTGGCACACACCTGTAATCCCAGCACTCGGGAGGCTGAGGCAGGAGAATCGCTGTGAGTTCGAGACCAGCCTGGGCTACATAGTGAGTTCCAGGGCAGTTTCAACTACATAGTGAGACCCTGTCTCAAAAAAAGAAATATTTATACAAGGTTTTTTCCCACAGTGTGGTGTATACATTTTATCATATATATATGTGGGAGAAAGAAAGTCTCCTCAAACACACAGTATCTTCCTACCTCAGCCTCTTATGTGCCAGAATGACAGGCATGCACCACCATCCCCAGCTATACTAGAGTATTTAAATGCACTAGTTCAGACCTAGGTTGTACGCACAACATTTGCATTTTATAGTTGCACACCGTGGTGCACACCTATCATCCCAGCATTCAGGAGGCTGAGGCAGAAGGATCTCCACAAGTTCAAGGCCAGCCTGGGCTACATAGTGAGTTCAAGGCCGGCCTGGACTACACAGTGAGACCCTGTCTCAGATCAAACAAACAAAAACCACTTGAGTTTTCTATGCACCTCACTTTACAGAATTTAGCAGTGTCTCTGCACCATATGCATCCCCATATTGGGATGGGGCAGGCAGCTTTCTGCCTCCCTCATCAATATAACCCGCCTCCCATCTTTAGGACACCCGGAAAGGGAGCCTGTTCTGCCACTTAAAGGACAAAGCTGAGTCACAGGCTGGAACTCTGGAGTGCCAGTGATGTGCCAGCCTCCGCTTTGCCGAGCATGAGCCTGAGGACTCTGGTAACTGGCCTTTCCTGGCTGGTAACTGGTGTGGTACCCACTGCCAGGCTCAGGCTTCCTGAGAGTGAGCTTATCCTCCAAAGCGGTTGTCCTGCTTCTTGTCGCCTCTGTGATCCAGCCTGTGGCAGAGGACCAGCTCTGTCCCGGGGTCTTGCTGACCCTCCCAGGCAGGCGGGGGCACCTCTCCTCCCCGGGCAGCTTTGGGAAAGCCCTGCTCGCAGGTGTAGGAGGGCCTTTCCCTGGCCCTGTGCTCTGTGGGGGGGGGTCCGAAACCGCAGTGTGCTCAGAGATGATTCTGTCCCTGTTTCATTTCCCTCCCGGCACAGGGCTCATCACCACCAAGCCACACCTGGTGGCCCAGCTGGAGAGAGGCGTAGGGTCCTGTCTGGCCAATGTCAGCTCGAAGCAGGGTGAGTGAGCTGTCCCTGGCCTCCTGTGGCTGGGTGCTATGCCTGCCCTGCGCCCCTCCCTTCCGGGTCACCCTGCCTCCCCCTCTGCTATGCGGCCGGCTGCCCAGTGCTTTTCTCCTTGGAGTCACCTTGCTCCTGTCCGCCCTCAAGTCCAGTTCACCTCTCCTCAGCCTGAGTGAGGACCAGACGTCCACCAGAGCCCCAGGGAGCAGTGACACGGGCTCCCTTCCCTGTCTCTGCAGGTGGCAAGACACAGACAGCCGGGGCAGAGAGGGGGGCCGGGCGGCAGGGAGACCCAGCGGCGGAGCACAGAGGTCCCCAGGGCCTCGATCCCGCCACGAGGCCACAGGGGCCCAAGGGCGCCGAGAAACGGTTCCTGTGCCAGCAGTGCGGGAAGTCGTTCAGCCGCAGCTCCAACCTCCTCAAGCACCGCGTCGTCCACAGCGGGGAGAAGCCCTACGCGTGCCAGGAGTGCGGGAAGCTGTTCCGGCGCAACTTGGCGCTGCTAGAGCACCAGCGCATCCACAGCGGCGAGAAGCCCTTTGCGTGCGAGCAGTGCGGCAAGACCTTCACGCGCAGCTCCAACCTCCTCAAGCACCAGATCGTGCACAGCAGCGAAAAGCCCTTCTCCTGCGCCGAGTGCG